GGTCTACATATTTCAAGGCAATCTGCATCAAAATTCCAATATCACTTCTCACAGAAATAGAAAAAAACAACCCTGAAATTCATGAAACCAAAAAGATCTCAGATAACCAAAGCATCCTGAACAAAAAGAACAAAGGGAGGGAGCATACTCTCTGATTAAAATAAATTATGAAGTTATTTTAATCAAAAAGTGTGGTACTGAAATAAAACCAGACTTGTCAACCAATGAACAGGACAGATAGTCCAGAGATAAATGTAGACACTTATAGTCAACTGATTTTTGATAAAGATGGGAAAAACACACAGTGGAGAATGCACAATATCTTAATAGTGTTGAGAAAAGCAAATATCCACAAGCAGAAAAAAATTATATCATAATCTCACTATTTGCAAAAATCAACTCGAAATAAATAAAGACTTAAATACAAGACCTAAAACTGTAAAACTGCAAGAAGAATATAAACAAAGGGAAAGCTCTACAACACTGGTATGGGCAATAATTTTTGGAAAAAGAACTTTTTGAAAGCACAGGAAACAACAGAAAAAATAAACAAATGAAATTGCATCAAATGAAAAAGCTTCTGTTCAACAAAAGAGTAAAGAGAAACAGATTGGGAGAAGATACTTGCAAAATACTTGCAAACCATACATCTGATAAGAGGTTAAAATCCAAAATAGTTAAGGAATTAAACCAACTTGAGAGTAAGAAAAGAAATATCCCAATTTAAAAATAGGCACAGGGGCCAGCATTATGGCGCAGATTAAGCCATCCACTATCATATTACTCAGAAGACCAGAAGGAGTACCTGGCTTCAGCCTGACCCAGTCCAGGCATTTGTGGCCATTTGGGGAGGGAACCAATGGATGGAAAATCAATCAATCAATCTCTCTCTCTCTCTCTCCCTGTGTGGGTGTGGGTGCCACTTTGCCTTTCAAATAGTTTTTTTTTAATGGGCAAAAGGCCTGAACAAATATTTTTCAAAAGAAGACATACAAATGGCCAACAAGTACGTGAAATGCTCAACATCACTAACATTATGGAAATTCAAATTAGGGGCTTCCATAGCCTTGGAAACTCATGACTGGTGCATAGGGAGATTACTGATGCCATAAACAGGAGTGTCAATTTGTAAAGTCAACAACAGGAGTCACTGTGCACTTACTCCTCATGTAGGATCTCTGTCCTTAATGTGCTGTACATTGAGGCTTAATGCTATAACGAGTACTCAAACAGTATATTTCACTTTGTGTTTCTATGGGGGTACAAACGATTGAAATCTTTACTTAATGTACACTAAACTGATCTTCTGTAAAAAAAAAAAAAAAAAAAAGAAATTCTCAACTCCCAACTTGACTCTCACTGGGATTAAACATGACAATAGGTCTGCTCTGATTTCATCATCATTTAAAAAAAAATCATCTATTATTTTTCACTTTATGTTTCTATGTGGGAGCAAACTGTTGAAATCCTTACTTAAGGTATACTAAGCTGATCTTCTGTATATTAAGATAATCGAAAATGAATCTTGATGTGAATGGAAGGGGAGAGGGAGTGGGAAAGGGGAGGGTTGTGGGTGGGAGGGACGGTATGGGGGGGGGAAGCCATTGTAACCCATGAGTCGTACTCTGGAAATTTATATTCATTAAATAAAAGATAAAAAAAAAAACACACATGGAGATACTACCTCACAGCTGTCTAAATGGCTATTGTCAAAGGATGAAAGATAATAACAGTTGGTGAGGAAGTGGAAAAAAGTGCACACAGTTGATAGGAGTGTAATTGGTAAATATAATAAAGTTTCCTTAAAAAACTAAAATTAAAACTACCATATATTGCAGCAATCCCACATCTGAGTATATATCCCAAGGGACTGAAATCAGTATGTTGAAGAGTTATCCATAGTCACATGTTCTTCATAGCATTATTCTCAAAGTCAAGAACTGAATTGACCTAAGAATCCATCAACAGACTAATTAATAAAGATGTCCACAATAGAATACTATTCAGAATTTAAAAATAAGGAAATTCTGTTATTTGTCACAACGTGGATGAATCTGAAGAATACTACACTAAGTGAAGTAAGCCAGGCACAGAAAGACAATTGACCCACTCTATCATCTAAATGTGGAAACCAAAAAAATCAAACTCAAGACACCAACATCCCATATCAGTACCTAGATTTGATACCCATCTCCAGTTCCTGACTCCAGCTTCTTGCCAGTGAAGATTGTGGGAGGTGGCAGCAATGGCTCAAGTGAGTAGATTCCTGCCATCCATGTAGGAAACCTGGATTGAGTTCCTGGTCCTGGCTTCAGCGTGATCCAGTTCCTACAGCTGTGGGTATTTGGGGTGTTAACCTGAAGAAAGGAGTACTCGTTCATTCTCTCTCTCTCTCTCTCTTTCTTTCTCTCTTCCTCCCTCCCTCCCTCCCTCTCCCTCCTCTTCACTCCCAAATAAATAAAATCTTTTAAAAAGTCAAACTTTACAGATAATATCTTCCTTCCAATTTGTATTATTTCCAGTGATAAATATCCTATCATAATCTTTGTTACTTTATATATAATGTTTCTCTTTCTCTGATTGCTTTTAGGATTTTTCTATCACAAGTTTAACTGACTATGATATAATTAGTCCCTTATAAATTCTTCGTGTTTGAAGTACACAGGGCTTTGGAGTTTTCATCAAATTTGGGGAAATTTTCCACCGTTGCTTCTTCATTTTTTTCTGCCCCACTCCCATCACTGCACTTTTGGACTCGAGTTTTAAGTACAACAGCCGAGCTAAAGTTGTCCTATCAGGTCACTGATTTCTCTTCATATTTTTCATTTTCTTTCAGCATTTCATTTTGGATAGTTTATATTTCTATGCCTTTGGATTCATTAATCTTTTCTTCTGCAATATCTAATATGCCATTAATTCCATTCACCCATGTATTTTTCATGTCAGACATTACAGCTTTCTTCTCTAGAAGATTAACTTGGGTCTTTTAAAATTCTTTTATTTCTCTGCTTAAACAGTCTGTCTTTCCCCTAATTTCTTATGTATAAGGAATATTGTAATAATGACTATTTTGCTGTCCTTGTCTATTAATTCTATCATTGGTATTACATCTAGGTTTCAAGTGATTGATTTTTCACATCATTATGGGTCAAGTTTTTCTGCTTGTTTCCATGCCTGGTAATTTTTTATCAGACCCTGAGAATTTTACTTGATTCAAATAGTACTGAACATTGCTTTATTGCCATACATTTGCTTTAGATTTGTTTTGCAATGCAGTTTTTCAGAAACAGTTTGATCCTTTTATGCCTGGCTTTCATTTATTTTTTAGTAAGGGACAGGAAAGTGTTTAGTTTAGGGTTATTTCTGTGCTCCACTGAGGTAAAAATTCTGCTGAGCATTCCTCTAAATTCCCCATGAATTATGAGATCTACTCTTACTAGTGGGAACAGCAACTATTCCTAGCCCTGTGTAAGCTCAAAGGATTTCTCCCTCTAATCAGTTTGACTAATTCATCTCACAACCCTGTCAGGTAGTTTTTCAAATGTATACACTGATCAGAACTCAGCTGAGCACTTGGTGGGACTCTCAGCAGATCTCTCCCTCTACCCTTTTCTCTCTACCTCCCTGTCTCTTCCCTTCTATCTCCTCTCCTCAGTCTGTGTCTTCTTGGCCTCAAAGTTATGTCTCTTCAAGCCTGGGATACAGCATTGCTCTATTCACATCTCAGCTCCACTAGGCTTCCAGGTGTTAAGTAATCCAAGTCAATTGGAGAACTCATCTCACTTGTTTCTAATCTCAAAGAGATCATTGCCCTTCACTGCTTAATACATCATATCTTGAAAGCTTTGCTTCATTGATTTTGTCTGGTTGTTTTTTTTCTGTTTCTAGCAGAAGGATAAATCTATTCTATGTTACTCTAATCTGACCTGAATCAGAATTCATCTTTTAAACATAGTAAACACACACATTTTTTACTATTTTCAGAGTAATTCTAATACATGAAATATCTGCAAGTCTATTACATTGTTTATTCTTTCTAAATTATTCATCATGGTGCATTATTTTCTTCTGTATTTGATCATTTCTGAAAACCTTATAAAATTAACAAAATTTCCACTTCTATGAAGATAAGATACACATACTTTCCTATTCTTCCCACTAAATACAACTAAAAACCCTGTGCATTATATAGAAAATAAACATTAGAAGACTTTGGAACTTGAAAAGAAAGTGGATCATCTAGGAGACTTGGGATACAAGCAATGACATGGTTGTGATCCTGGGGTTTTTTGTTTTGTTTTGTTTACCTTATAAATATCGCAGTTTGACACTAAAGAAGGTGACAACCCAGGAATGCTAACAGGGACAGAGAAAAACCTGCTGCAGGGAAAGGGCAACCTATCAAACAGAAACTTTCAGTCAATCATCAGTCTACTCCAGCCCAACACCACAGGAAAAAAAATGGCTCCAGCTCCACTCTCCACGGCTGAGTGGAGAGCCTAATCTATCACCCTCATAAGGGTGTCACAAGGCAGTCCAAGAGGTTTAACTGAGAGGTGTCAGGGAAGGTCAAGTAGGGCACAAGAATTTTTACTCCCACTAGGTGATTACAAGACCTCTGCTTCCTCCAAACTCTGGAGGTGTCAATAGGGATCACCTGGGAAACCAGACTCCCACTACACCAAGGAGTAAAAAGGAGTTCCACGCCCCCACCCCCTTAGTCCATTTTGTGCTGCTATAACAGAATACCTGAGACTGGGTAATTAGTAATAACAGTAAACTATTGGCTCAGTTCTGTAGCCCAGAAAGTCCAATATCCAGATGCTGGAATGTGGTGAAGACTTTGTTCACTGCATCATAACATGGCAGGAGGAATCGTAAGTTGGAAGAATAAAGAAAAAGAAAACAAGATGGGGCAAAAGCACTCCCATGATAAGAAACCCACTAGTAAAGATGAACCCTGCAGGCCTCATGATTAATCACTTATTAAAAGTCCAGTCTTTCTTTTTTTTTTTTTTGACAGGCAGAGTTAGTGTGAGAGAGAGAGAGAGAGACAGAGAGAAAGGTCTTCCTTTTTCCGTTGGTTCACCCCCCAAGTGGCCGCTACGGTCGGTGCGATGCGGACGGCGTGCTGCATCTATCAAAGCCAGGAGCCAGGTGCTTCTTCCTGGTCTCCCATGCGGGTGCAGGGCCCAAGGACTTAGGCCATCCTCCGCTGCCTTCCTGGGCCACAGCAGAGAGCTGGACTGGAAGAGGAGCAACTGGGACAGAATCCGGTGCCCCAACGGGGACTAGAACCTGGGGTGCTAGCACCGAAGGCGGAAGATTAGCCTAGTGAGCCACGGTGCCAGCCAAAAGTCCTGTCTCTTAATGCTATTACAATGGCAAATAAATTTCACCATGAGTTTAGGAGGAGACAAACATTCAGAACACAGCACTCCCCTTCTGTTTTCCTTTGTCTCTCTTACTCACATTCTGTTGTGAAATTACACATTGGAAATATGAAAAACAATATGAACTGGTCTTGAAAATGTAATGTCAGGTTCAAAGTAAATACAACAACATGGGGGCAGGCATTGTCACACATTGGGTTAAGCCACTGCCTGGAATGTCTGCATCACATACTGGAGAGCCAGTTCAACTCCCAGCTACACCACTTCTAATTCAGATTCCTACTAATGCATCCTGGGAAGCAGCAGATAATGGCTCATATACTTGGGCCCCTACCACCCTTGTGGGAGACCTGGATGGAGTTCCAGGCTCCTGGCTTCAGCCTGGCCCAGCCTTAACTGCTGTGAACATGTAAGGAATTAACCAGAGGAGGAAAATTTCTCTCTCACTCACTCACTCGCTCCCTCTCTCTCTTTCTCTCTCTCTCTCTCTCTGTTACTCTGCCTTTCAAGTAAATGAAAATATTTTTAAAAATACAATATGGATGTATCTTGAAAACACAGTATTAAATTATCCAATAAAGGAAATCTTACATGTACCAATGAAGACAGTTTTGTCGTATACTTATAGCATCTCATATTAAAATAAATAGTTCCTACTCTATATGATCACTAGTAATTTGATAAATATACACATAGAAACATAGTAAAACAGGGAAAATCTGAAGTTCTGCTTTTGAAAAGTACACAAATTTGACTTTACATTTTATTTACAAAATTAACTTATCATGGTGAGGGCACCAGGTGTGATGGTTAAGATACTGCTTGGGATGCCTCCATCCCATACTGGAGTGCCTGGGTTCAAGTGTAGGCTCCGTTCCCAATTCCAATTTCCAGCTAATGTGCACCTTGGGATGCAGCAGGTATGACTCAAGTACGTGGGTACCTGCCATCCATGTGTGAGGCCTTGATTTGAGTCCCAGGCTCCTGGCTTTGGCCTGATCCATCACTGGCTGTTGCGGGCATTTCAGGAGAGAACCAGAAAATGGAAGATCTCCCCATGTATGTATATATGTACCTTTCTCTCTGCCTTTCAAATATATAAATATTATTTTTAATTAACTAGTCTTAAACCTCTCTATAAAGGTCCTTAGAACATTTCCCATAGAGAATCTCTTTTAATATAAACTACCTACATATTAATGACTACCAAACTGACTCTCTTCCCAAATAAGATTTCAAGAGGATTCTCTTAAAGCATTTTTTTTCTAAAACACTAGGTAGAAAAATATCTATCACAACTGCCTGAAAGATTTAGAGAGGGGAGAAGAAAGATACCCTCCCAACACACACACACACACACACACACACATTCATACACATGCCAGAGAAGAGGGAAAGCAAAAGACGAAGTCAGAGAGATTCTCAACCCTCAATGGATTGTGATCCAATAGGGTGGAGGTCTGGCCTGTGAATCTGTGTGTTTAAAAGCTACCCACTGGGGCCAGCTTTGTGGTGCAGTAGGCTAATCTGCCATTTGTGATGTCTGTGTTTCATATGGGTGCTGTTTCAAGTCCTGGCTGTTCCACTTCTGATCCAGCTGCCTAATAATGTGCCTACTAAAGAAGTGTAAGATGCCCCAAGTGCTTAGTCCCCTGCCAGCGACATGGGAGACCTGGATGGAATTCCAGGCTTCTAGCTTTGGCTTGACCCAGCCCAGCCTCTGCCATCGTGGCCATTTGAGGAGTAAACCAACATATAAGAGTTTCTCTCTCTCTTCCACCCTCCCTCTCTCCCTCTTTATTGTTTCAAATAAATAAATAGATCTTAAAAAGAAAAAGCTACCCACATTATCCACATGCTTGTAATAAAGACCAAGTTAGTGGGCCAATTCCTTTTAGTCTTTTTATGATTTTCTCCCATTTGGAACACAAAGGAGAAATTGTTAAGAACAAAATCACAGAACCTTTCAGAGCCTAGCTCTTCAGAGTTGAACAAGAAAACCACCCTTCCTGTATTAAATGTCACTAAGCCACATCTTACATTAGAAGAGATCTTTTGCAAAACCCTTCATTTTCATGAACTCTTTAATAACATTTGACAAGTCTTAATATTCTTGGTAATAAGTGAGTTCAACACGTTACTAAAAGATTCCCTGGGTCTCTTTCCAGAGACACATTATATTTATTTACACTAAGAGAACAGGTCACTTATAATGTTTACTGAATTCTTTTGTGAAAATTCTCCAAAAGTTAAGCTTGTTTCCTTCTTAAAATATCTATAATTTAAAAAGAAAAAAGTTGTGATTATCATCATAGAAATTGACTCAAATTAGGAAAAAAAAATAACTGAATGTCACTAACACTCAAGGGAAATACCTAATGATTTCTAACAATTCCTCTTTTCATGATCACAAATTTAGCAGCAGTCTCTACAAAAATCCCCCTCAACGTCTGCTTCCATGATCAAGTGGGCACAGCAACTTTATCCCTGTTCACTTGGGAGAGCAAAGTATCTCAATATCTACAAATATAAATTAAGAGCTCAACACTGCCTATTATGTTCAGTATCAGAAATTTACACTTCTCAATATGACTAAAAGAATCCAAGTAAGAAAAAGAGAGAGGAATATCATTCCTAATTCTGGTACTTCTAAGTAATCTTCCAAAGAAGGAATCTACTAGTTTAGGAATTCAGCTTAAGTCATTATCCACATACATATCTGTTGACCATCCTGTGGAGGGGAAAAAAGAAAACTGGTTATTTGGCTAGCATAAAGAACTTGGGTCTAGAGCTATGGAAAAGAGAAAGGGGAAAAAATGTACTATAGTCACCAAGCTAGAGGACAAGGATAATTCTCAGTTTTGCCATTTTCAAGAATAGTTGAGGATAAATTATATTCATTCAATAATTTTATATTGGGCATAAATTAGGTGCTAGGAACTATATGTAGGTATTGGGTATAAATCAGTAAACAAGCCAGAGGCCTTGATCTTAAACAGTTAATACACAGTGAGGGAAGAAACAAAACCTAACAGAAAAATTTGAGAACTTATAATTAAATGCTAAAAAAATGAAAAGAAAATCAGCAAGGAAATAATAGAGCTAATCAACACTGAAGACCAAATATACCTAATGGATATCTACAGAACCATTACCTACAGAACCCCACAGTGACAGAATGCACATTCTTCTCATCAGTGCATGGAACTTTCTCTAGGATAGACCATATGCTAGGCCATAAAGTAAGCCTCAGCAAATTCAAAAAAACTGAAATCATACCATGTGTCTTCTCAGACTATAATGGAATAAAGCTGGAATTCAACAACTCAGGAATCTCTGGATCATATGTAAACACATGTAGACTGAACAACATGCTTCTGAATGAACACGGGTCATAGAAGAAATCAAAAGAAGATGACAATACATAATATCAAAACTTATGGGATACGGCAAAAGCAGTGTTAAGAGGAAGTGTGGGGAGCAATCCGGACTAGACTGTTACTCGAATTAAGACTTATTCTATGCATCTGCTCTCCCACAATATGGCGCTGGGAGAGAAGTAAACAGCTTCCGCACAGCTGCCTCGAGTTCAACTAATAAACTGTAGGACTTGCTCCTGATTGGAGAGCAGCGTACTCGGCGTGTGGGCAGCCGAGTTGGGATTGGCGGAGGAGGACTATAAAGGAGGAGAGAGACGGCATGCACCAGGAACATCTATGGGGAACATCTAAGGGAACCCGTGCAGCCCCTGAGAAAACCGGCCGGCGGTGTGCCGCTCCCCTGCGGAAGTGGGGAATGCGGCCAGGGGGAACTGCCCTTCCACGGAGGTGGAAGGGATAGTAGCCAACCCGGGAAGAACCAGCAGCAAACCCGGGGAGGGCCGAGCAGACGAAAGAACAGCGCAGGGTCCTGTGTTGCTCCTCCACGAAGAGGGGGAGCGACATAATGGTGCCGTGACTCGGATAGGAAACCTAGCTCGGATAGGAAACTTAGGAGGGAAGAAATGACTCGGATAGAAAACCTAGTTCGGAATAGGAAACTTAGGACGGATATGAAACTTAGGAGGGAAGAAACGGGAAGAACTAGGGAAAATATCGGAGAGAGAAACTAGCAAACAGCCTAGGGAAAAGCCGGACGAAAAAGGAGCCGGAAGAAGCTATTGAAAGCCTAGGCATAGACTCGGATACGGACTACGGGGGGAAGCTGGGAGAAATCTCTAAGGTCGAAAGCGAAAGTGAAAGCTAGAACAAACAGACTCGGACGTGGACTGTGGGGAGAGGCCAGGAGAAATGAGGGAGGAATATCGTTGGAGGAAAGCTTGGGGAAACATACCGGGTAGAGAAAAATGTTAGGGAAATTGAAGCCGCGGGGGGCAGGCCAAGGCGGACACGAAAGCCACTTTGGGATTCTTAAGTTAGCCCGGGAATAGGGGGCGAAAAGTTGAAACCAGAAGCTGAGACGTAAGCCAGGTTGGGATCCGTCTGATTAGCCCGGGGAGCAAAGGACGGGAGGCCAAACCGTGGGGCGGAGACGTACGCTGGGTTGAATTCGCCAGGCTAGCCCGGGGAACTTAGATTGAATCCTAGTGGCGGACACGTGAGCTACGCTGTGTTACTCGCGGAAGCCGTCGCGTGCAGAGAGAGCACGGGGCGTGAATAGATGGGGAACGGGCTGGCGTAGGCTGTGGTTCAGACGCGAAAGGGTTAAGCGTGGAGACCGTGGAGCGCGCGAAGCCAAGCCGCGCAAAGCCGAGCCGCGCAGATGAGGCGCGGGCTGAAGCGGCGCAGAGCCGGGAACCCGCCGGCGGGGCGAGGTGCTGGAAAGCCGCAGGGATAAGAGAAACAGAAGTTTTAGAAGTAAAGTGAGAAAAATAGGAATGCTGGAAGATAGAAGTAAAATGGGAGAAATAGGAATGCCCGGAGATAGAGAAATAGAGAAATAAAAAGGCCTCCCTACAACACTGCAATGTGAGAGCTTGGATTCGGTCTGCCTAATCAAGTGAGGCGATGAGCACCTGCGGGCAGCTAGCAGCTTATGCGCCGCAGGTCACCGAAGACAGGCACGAATTAACATCAGTAAGGCTTCCCCACAATACAACAATATTAAGCTTGGATTCGGTCTGCCTGATTTAAGGCGGTAAGCGCCAGCAAAGCTCGACCAGAGTATGAGCTGCAGGTCACCGAAGATAGGCACGAACCAACACTAATAAGTCTCCCCCACAATAAGGCAATGAGAAGGCTTGGATTCGGTTTGCCTGATAGGTCTTGTAAGTCCCCTGCAGGCAGAGCAGAGCATGCGCTGCAGGGCACCGAACACAGGCACGCATCAGCGCCTAAAAACCTCCTCACAACATGGCGAAGAGAGGACCCGGATTCGGTTTGCCTGATAGGACTTGTAAGAGCCTGTGGCAACTCTAGCAAGTAGAGCAGAGTGTGTGCCGCGGGACACCGAAGACAGGCGCGTATCAACGCTAAAAAATAAAAAGAAAGGGGGATCTGTGGGGAGCAATCCGGACTAGACTGTTACTCGAATTAAGACTTATTCTATGCATCTGCTCTCCCACAATATGGCGCTGGGAGAGAAGTAAACAGCTTCCGCACAGCTGCCTCGAGTTCAACTAATAAACTGTAGGACTTGCTCCTGATTGGAGAGCAGCGTACTCGGCGTGTGGGCAGCCGAGTTGGGATTGGCGGAGGAGGACTATAAAGGAGGAGAGAGACGGCATGCACCAGGAACATCTATGGGGAACATCTAAGGGAACCCGTGCAGCCCCTGAGAAAACCGGCCGGCGGTGTGCCGCTCCCCTGCGGAAGTGGGGAATGCGGCCAGGGGGAACTGCCCTTCCACGGAGGTGGAAGGGATAGTAGCCAACCCGGGAAGAACCAGCAGCAAACCCGGGGAGGGCCGAGCAGACGAAAGAACAGCGCAGGGTCCTGTGTTGCTCCTCCACGAAGAGGGGGAGCGACAAGGAAGTTTATAGCAACTGGTGCCTACATCAATAAATTGGAAAGGAACCAAATAAATGAGCTATCACTGCCTCACAAGGATCTAGAAAAACAACAAACCAAACTCAAATAGGAGGAAAGAAATAATTAAAATTAGAGATGAAATTAACAAATTTAAAAACAAAAAAAATACAAAAAATCACTGAAATGAAGAGCTTCTTTTTTGAAAAAATAAACAAAATAGATACATCATTGGTCCAACTAACCAAAAAAAAAAGAGAGACAGAAGACCCAAATCAACAAAATCAGAAATTAAAAAGGAAATGTAACAACAGATACCACAGAAAGAAAAAGAATCATTAGAAATTACTACAAAGAGCTGTATGCCAACAAAACAGGAAACCAAGAAGAAATGGATAGATTCCTAGACACATACATTCTACCAAGATTGAGCTAGGAAGACATAAAAAACCTAAACAGACCAATAACCAAGATGGAAATTGTATCAGTAATAAAGACCCTCTCTCGGGGCTGGTGCGGTGGCGCAGGTTAATCCTCCACCCATGGCACTGGCATCCCATATGGGTGCCAGTTCTAGTCCCAGCTGCTCCTCTTCCAATCCACCTCTCTGCTACAGCCTGGGAAACCAGGAGAAGGTGGCCCAAGTGCTTGGGCCCCTGCACCCATATGGGAGACCAGGAAGAAGCTCCTGGCTCCTGGTTCGGATTGGCATAGCTCCAGCCATTGCGGCCATTTGGGGAGTGAGCCAATGGAAGGAAGACCACTCTCTCTGTCTCTCCCTCTCACTGTTTATAACTCTACCTCTCAAATGAATAAATAAAATCTAAGAAAAAAAAAAAAGAGACCCTCTCAACAGAGAAACGCCCAGGACCAGATGGATTTATTGCTGAATTCTACCAGACATTTAAAGAAGAACTAATTGCAACTCTTAACAAGCTATTCAAAACAACTGAAAGGAATGGAAACCTTCAAATTCCTTCTATGAAGCTTACATTACTTTTAATTCCAAAGCCAGAAAAATATGCAACAGAGAAAGAGGATTATAAACCAATATCCCTGATGAATATAGATGCAAAAATCCTCAACAAAATTCTAGCCAATCGAATCCAACAACACATCAGAAAGATCATCCACCCAGACCAAGTGGATTTACCCCTGGTATGCAGGGATGGTTCAACACTCACAAATCAATGTGTTATATCCCATTAACAAACTGAAGAACAAGAACCATATGGTTATTGGGATTGGTGCTGTGGCATAGCAGGGAAAGCTGCCACCTGCAGTAGCAGCATCTCATATGGGCGCCAATTTGAGACCCAGCTGCTCCACTTCCAATCCAGACCCCTTCTGTGGCCTGAGAAAACAGTGTAAGATGGCCCCCTGCAACCACATGGAAGACCTGGAAGAAGCTCCTGGCTCCTGGCTTTAGATCAGCTCAACTCCAGCCATTGCAGCCATTTGGGGAGTGATCTAGTGGACGAAGATATCTCTCTCTCTCTCTCTCTCTCTCTCTCTCTCTTTGCCTCTGCCTCTCTGTAACTCTGCCTTTCAAATAAATAAGTATATCTTAAAAAAAAAAAAAAGATTATATCAGTAGATGCAGAGAAAGCATGTCATAAAACACAACACCCTTTCATGCTGAAAACCTTAAGCAAATTGGGTATAAAAGGAACATTCCTCAACATAATCAAGGCAATCTATGACAAACACACCAATATTTTATTGAATATTTTATTGAATGGAGAAAAGATGGAAGCATTCCCCCTAAGATCTGGAACCAGACAAGGATGCCCACAGTCACCAATACTGTTTAATATAGTACTAGAAGTTTAGCCAGAGCCATTAGGAAAGAAAAAGAAATCAAAGGAATACAAATTGGAAAGGAGAAAATCAAAATATCCCTATTTGCAGATGACATAATCCTTTATATAGGGGATCCAAAATACTCCACTGAGAGACTATTGGAATTTATGAAAGAGTTTGGTAAAGTAGCAGGATATAAAATCAACATGGAAAAATTAATAGCCTTTGAATACACAGACAATGTCATAGCTAAAAAACAACTTTTAAGATCAGTCCCATTCAAAAAAGCTCCAAAAAAAATCAAATACCTTGAAATAAATTTAACCAAGGATGTCAAAGATCTCTACAATGAAAATTACAAAACACATATGAAAGATATAGAAAAAGACATTAAAAAATGGAAAAATCTTCCATGTTCATGGATCAGAAGAAGCAACATCATCAAACTGTCCATACTACCAAAAGTAATTTACAGATTCAATGAGATCCCAATCAAAATGCCAACAACCTTTTTTGCAGATCTAGAAAACAATGATGCTAGAATTCATATGGAAACACAAGAGACCCCCAAAATAGCTAAAGAAATCCTATACAACAAAAATAAAGCCAGATGCATCACAATACCTCATTTCAAGACATACTACAGGGCCATTATAATCAAAACAGCCTGGTACAAAAACAGACTTATAGACCAATGAAACAGAATAGAAACTGCAGAAATCAATCCATGCATCTACAACAAACTTCTCTTTGACAAAGGAGATAAAATCAATCCCTGGAGCTAGGGCAGTCTCTTCAAAAAACAGTGCTGGGAAAACTGGATCTCTACATGCAGTAGTATGAAGCAAGAACCCTACCTTACACCTTACACAAAAATCCACCTAAAATGGATCAAAGACATAAATCTACCTCCCAATACCATCAAATCATTAGAGAACACTGGGCAAACTCTGCAAGACATTGGTATAGGCAAAGATGTCTTGGAAAAGACCTCAGAAGCACAGGCAGTCAAAGCCAAAACTGACATATGGGACTACATAAAGCTGAAAAGCTTCTGCATTGTAAAGAAACAATCAGCAAAATGAATAGGCAACCAACAGAATGGGAGAAAATATTTTCAAACTACATAAGTGATAAAGGGTTAACTTAAAGAATCTATAAAAAGCTCAAGAAATTCAACAATAACACAACAAACAATCCAGTTAAGAAACAGGCAAAGGACTTGAACAGACATCTTCAAGAGGGAAAATTCAAATAGTCAGCAGACACTTGAGAAAATGCTCAGAATCACTAACAATCAGGGAAATGAAAATCAAAACCACAACGAGGTTTCACCTCACTCCAGTTAGAATGGCCCACATATAGAAATCAACAAGTGACAAATGCTAGTGAAGATGTGGGGAAAAAGGTACCCTGATACACTGTTGGTGGGAATGTAAACTGGTGCAGCCACTGTGGAAGACAGTATGAATATACTTCAGAAATCTGAATACAGACCTACCATAAGATCCAGCCATCTCACTCCTAGAAATTTACCCAAACCAAAAGAATTCAGAATATGAAAGAGTTATCTGAAACCCAACGTGTATTGCAGCACAATTCACAATAGCCAAGATATGGAATCAACCCAGAAGTCCATCAACTGACGACTGGATAAAGAAATTATGGTATATATACACTATGGAGTACTACTCAGCTGTAAAAAAAAAAAAATCCTGTCTTTTGCAACAAAATGGTCACAACCAGAAACCATTATGCTTGGTGAAATAAGCCAGTCCCAAAAAGACAGATCTCATATGTTTTCCCTGATCAGAGGTATTGAATACAGCAGCTGAAATATAAGTTATTGATGTGAAATAGACATTTTGATAATCAATGATGGTTTATGCCCTTATCTCTTTCATTGAGGAACTGTTTTTTGTTTTGCTTTGTTTTGTTTTCTCCTCAGACTATTTGTTGAAATCTTTTACTTAGGGTAGCATTAACTAAAGAGCATTAAGTGTACTAAAAAAAGATCATTGTAAAAATTAAGAGTGGGAATATGAGAGTGAGGGGGAAAGAAGGGTTAGAGTATCGGTTGGGGGGGATGCCACTATGTTCCTACAATGGTATAAAGAAAATATATGAAACTTCTGTAACTTGAAAAAATATATCAAAGAAAATTTAAAACAAAATAAGATTATGAGTTACAGAGGTGAGGGGCAATTTTTAACTACAGTTAAAAGCAAAATACTCAACAGGTGACACTGGATTGCAAAGATACTAGCCAAGAATAATCTATAAAAAAGACAAGCAAAAAGGAAAGCAAGGGACCAAAGCTGAAAGAAATAGAAGGCTTTCAATGCTCAACAAATGTAATAAATTATAAGAAAGAGTAAAAGGAGGTAAAGAAAGATAGATAGAAGGTATCATAAAGAGTCTGATAAGCCACAGTAAGGTATGTGAATTTTATTTGAGTTGGAGTGGGAAGGGAAGGTTTTCCTGAGTTTTAAACAGAAGGAGCATCAACATGCTCTAATTTCTATTTCTAATGTCACTGACTACAATGTGGAAGATAGGACTACAGGAAGACAAACATGGCAAGATGTAGACCACTTAGCGTATTATAGCTCAGGGGATGGATTTTGTGGCACAGGAGGTTAACCCACAGGCTTCAGACATCTGTGTCTCATATCAGAGTGCCTGGGATACCCAATCCAGCCTGCTAATACACCTGGGAAAGCAGTAGATGACAGCTGTGGGCCCCTAAACCCACATGGGTGTAGCCATTGCAGCCATCTGGAAAGTGAACTACCAAATGTCAGGTCTCCCTCCCTCCTTCACTCCCTCCCTCCCTCCCTCCCTCTCTCTCTCTGTTCCCCTCTCTTTTTCTGTGTTTGTATTTGTGTATGTGTAATTCTGCCTTTCAAATAAATATTTTAATTAATTAATTAATTAAAAGAAGAAAACATAGCCCAGGCAAGAAATGCTAAAACTTTGACTGTGCTACATAAGATAAGAGTCGGAGAACTCAAAAGGCTTCCATAGCCTTGGAAACTCATGACTGGAGCATAGGGAGATTACTGATGCCATAAACAGGAGTGTCAATTTGTAAAGTCAACAACAGGAATCACTGTGCACTTACTCCTCATGTAGGATCTCTGTCCTTAATGTGCTGTACATTGAGATTTAATGCTATAACGAGTACTCAAACACTATTTTTCACTTTGTGTTTCTATGTGGGTGCAAACTGTTGAAATCTTTACTTAATGTATACTAAACTGATCTTCTGTATATATAGAAAATTGAAAATGAATCTAGATATGAATGCAAGGGGAGAGAGAGCGGGAAAGGGGAGGGTTGAGGGTGGGAGGGAAGTCATCGGGGGGTGGGGGGAAGCCAATGTAGTCCATAAGCTGTACTTTGGAAATCTATATTCATTAAATAAAAGTTAAAAAAAAAAAAAACAAACTTTGACTGTGGTTATAAACATGGAGGCAGTATGACAGGATAATATCCAGAATATACTTTAGAAAATAAGATTTTTCAGATAGACTGAACTGGAGGTACAAAGAGAAACAAAAAATTAAAATTCTTAAGTTTCTGATGTAAGCAATTGAATGAATAGTGGATATCATTTGCTATATAAAGAAAGCTAAGGGAGACAATTTGAGAAAGTTTATACTTCTTTTTTTAATTTAATACTCTTATTTCTTTTGGGTCCATGTGTCAAATTTCTCCAACTAGCTTACAATTCATTATTTCTTTTATATCCCCATGTGCCCAGTTTAGCATAATAAATACCTGCTAAATTTAATTAAACTGAAGTGGTCTTACACAAAAACATATGAATCAACATTTTCAAACCTTATGTTTGAAAAATCAAATACAGATGTTTTAATCAAAGATACTGAATGTTTAACATTTTAAAAATGCTATTGACAAGCCTACTAAATGTATGTTTACAACTTTAAAATGGATACTGTTAAATGGTGACATAAATAAAATTACATAAAGAACTTTTCAATAACCACTTAAACAGAGGGACTTTTAAATGTCTTTCATTATTTTTCTTATAATTAAACATAAATGAAATAATAAGTGATGTGACATTTAAAAAAATAGTTAACAGCATATGATGAATACTGAAAGACTAAAAACCTTGGTCATTGTCATAACCAACATGATAATGGAAAACCACATAAATGTACATTTTGGTTGTGTGTTCTTTTTAAACTATACCATGGCAAAATTGAATCCTAGTAACTGGTGTTTTTGTTGGTAACTGGTTCTGGCACATGAGCCCCAGGGAAACTTGGATCATCTTATAGCCATATCTTGGGCAAAAGCCAGAGAAAATATTTACTTCTTTATTTTATAAATTTTTTTCATTTTGACATTTAACCCAATTTCCTAAATTCTCTAAAAACCTAAGAAAATGCTATTTTTTAAATTATAGGATTTTCCTGTAAAATATGTTAACTAACATACAACAAGCTCTATTAGTCAGCCTTTAATCACCACAACCAAATACCTAAATAATCTACTTAAAAAAGAGAAGTTTATTTAGCTCACAGTATTGGACGTTCAAAGTCCAAATGACATGGCACAGGCTTTGGCTATGGTGACCATTCATGGTAGATGGTTGGGCTTGTATAAAGAAAGGATCATATGATGAGCCAGGAGGCAGACAAAGTGGTTGAGACCAAACTTAGGCTTTTATAACAACATCCTCAGGACAGCCACCTCCAAGGGCAAATTTTCCATGAATTAAGGACCTCTCCCTAGGCTTACCTCCTAAAAGTTCTACCGCTACTAAGAGCAACACCCTGGGGACCATGACTTTTAACACATGAAAATTTGGGGACATCCAAACTAATATCTAAACCATAGCACAAGGAAATAATAGTTTCAGATGGGAATTAGTTCTTTTGCCTTAAGTTTGTATTGTTTGAAATGCTAGTTAATCATTGCTACAGTTTGCCTGTTGAATTCCCCTCCAAAAGTCATATGTTAAAGGTTTAGTTCCCAAAGTCTTGTGTTAATGATTAAGAAAATAAAACCTAATTCAATTATGATGCTGAAGGTAGAGGTCTTTGGAAGGTGAGTGGAATAGAATAAAATACTAGAGTAGACCCCCTTGATTGAATTCTATGATTATTTGTTTTTATCTACTCAACAGGAAGAGTGAGAGATGGAGAAGGCAAAACAAAGAAGGGGGATGGAGTGGGGAGCATATCTTCCACACACTAGTTCACTCCCCAAATGCCTTCCTTAGCCAGAGCTAGGCCATTTGGAAGCCAGGAGCCAGGAACGCCATCCAGGTCTCCCACATGGAGTGGCAAGGGTTCAAGCACTAAACAATCATTCGCTGCCTCCCCTGATGCACTAGCAGGAAGCAGTGTACCCAGGACCCAAACCGGCATGGAATATAGGGAATCTCAAGTGATGTTAATCTGCTGCACCACAACATCCACTCCTAAATTCTGGTGTCTTAATGACAGACCTCACTAACACAAGCATTCCCTCATGCTTTGTGATACACTCTGTGCCACTTCAGAATTTGGCCAGCAAGAACACCATCATCAGTGAAGTCCACCAAATATTGGACTGTGACTCTCCAAAACCATGACCTAAAGTAAACCTCCTAGGGTGGATGTCTGGCTCAGCAGTTGGCACTTGGAACACCCGCATTCCATAATGAAATACATGGGTTCAAGTCCCGCCTCCACCCACCACTCCCAGCTTCCTGCTAATGCACATCCCAAGAGGCAGTAAGTGATGATTCAGGTACTTGCATTTTTGCCACCCATATGGAAGACCCAGAATGAGTTCTTAACTCCTGGCTTAGGCCTGGTACACCCCTGGCCGTTGCAGGTATTTGGGAATGAATTATGATATGGGAGATCTCTGTCTGTTTGTCTTCTCTCTGCTTCTTTCTCTCAGCATCTTTCAAATAAACAATAATAAAAAAATTTGTAAAAATGGTTGAATCTTAGAACACTGACAAATAGAGGCTAGAAAGTGTGAGGGGAAGAGGGATGGAGGGAAGCTGAATAATAGATACCAAAACACAGATAGAAGTAACAAGTTCCAATGTCCCATAGTGCAGTGGTATGACTATAGTTTACAATGAATTATTATAATACTATATAAAGAACTGGAAGAGAGAAGCTCATAGGCTCTAAGCACAAAGAAAATCAAAATACCACTTATCTGGTTTGATCAGTTTACACTGTGTATATATGCTGAAATACTGTACCATACCCCAAAAGAATGTGTAAGTATTAAATGTTAATCAAAATTTTTAAGATTTATTTTTATTTATTTGAAAAGCCTAGTTACAGAGAGGGAGGGAGAGAGAGTAAGAAAAATCTTCAATCCACTGTTTCACTCCTCAAATGGCCACACTGGCCAGGGCTATGACAGGCTGAAGCCAGTAGCAGGAGCTTCTTCTGAGTCTCCCATATGGGTACAGAGGCCCAAGCACTTGGGCCTTTTTCCACTGGTTTCCCAGGTGCATTAGCAGGGAGCTGGATCAGAAGTAGAGCACCAGATTTTGAATTGGTGCCCATATAGGATGAAAGCAGTATCCCTCCAACATTTTTTAAATCGAATATTTTTTAAAAAACTGAAATGTATCTGTGAATCTGTGTTTGTGTATTTATGTTATATACAGTGAAGATGGAGAGGAATAAAAACATAAACATTAATGTTAGAAATTACTAAATGGCAAAGGTACAGATGATTTTTAATTTCTTTACAATTTTCTGTACTTTGCAAATCCGAAACACCAAACTATAATATTGTCCATCTGAAACATTCCATCATTTAGAAATATCATTTTGATATAATAACAACAATTTAGTTTATTCTAACAAGCAATACTATCAAGTTATAGGACAAAGTTATTTCCTTAAATTCCGTTTTCTTTGACATTGTTTAAATAGTTACCTATCTGTACCAAGTATCATCTTGGTATCATAATAGTTAGCAATAGTATAGTAATAAAATAATTTATTTACATAACAAAAGTTTAAGTAAATGGCTTTATTTAGATAAATGGAAAATGAAGCTTCAGTAGATTAACATTAGACTCGAGAATATATCAAAATCACGTACAAATTCACTTTCCTTTGGACACTGTCAAAACCTGTGTAAAGTTTTTGATCTCATTAAGTCTTTGAATTACGAACTCTTTATAACTGGTTGGCAACAGATAAAAGGCCCCTTTCCTGTTGGCATTTTCCCAGAAACTTTTCTAATATTGAAATTTATTAATCTGGACACAAAAATTATAAACTTACTTAACAGACTATGTAGCCTCCACCCAAAAGAAAATTGTCCAACGAGAAAGAACTAAAGATTCAAAGATTTATTCTAGGTTGAGAATACTATTAAAACAAAATTATATAGCCACTACTCTGGAATACCATTTAACAGTTTCTTTAAAAACTGAACATGTATCCATGTAACCCAACAATTGCAGATCTGGGCATTTATCCCAGACAAATGAAAATCCATGCTCACACAAAAGGCTGCACATTAATACTTAAAGCAGCTTTATTCACAATAACTAAAATGGGGAAAGAGGGCAGATATCCTTTAATAAGTTTCCCATCTTAGGGAATACTATTCAGCAATAGAAAGGAAGTAACTAGTGACACATGAAAGTACTTGGATAAATCTCCAGAGGATTATGCTAAGACAAACCATCTAATCCCAAATGGTGACATACTCTATGATTCCATTTATACAATTTTCTTGTGATGACAAAATTGCAGAAATGGAAAACACATCAGTGGTCATCCAACTGGGAGGACAAG